CTAACCAATACTCAAGGAATCCCCCTGCACCCACCCACCCACCACATTATTATCGCCTCCAAATGAAGACCAAAACCAAGAGCGCTAATTGAATTAGTCTATTGAAAGGACTGTCAGGTACAATGACGTGGCTCGAGGCCCCACATTTCCCAAGGTCTATAGGCTTTGGGGACCTGCGATGTATAGTCTGACCTTCTGGCTCATAATAATACCGCGGCACTTGTAGCAGAAATCTCCTCGCATTCACTCCCAACAAAACCGCTGGTCACCCAGTCCCCGTAGGAAGGCTGCACGCTATTGTGTTGCGACAACTCATTCATGTCCCGCGCCACGAGGCCCCGCCGCCATCTGATCTACACTCGAAATGCGATTACCACCGTGTGCATGCAACACGCTCGTACTCTCGGCCCATCGCGCACACGCCTGGCCAGGCTGCAAGGGTTTCCTTCACAATTCTCCTCACACCCATCCTCAAAAGAGAGGTGGAAGCAGGTGGGACCATGGCATTTGTCTCTGTCTAAACGAAATTCAAAATTCTGCAGAAATGCAGGTTGGTGGGAGATCTCTCTTTTTGGAACACCCCGCGCCCGAACCCTCACAAACTCTGAACCCGAATGGCTGGTGGGACAGACTTGGGGGTACATGCTGAAGTGTGCATACGCGAGCCTCCTGCCATACACACAGATACACAGACACAATCAGCGTTTTCATAGACTCTCTTTGTGGTTCTCACATACACAAGCGAATAGACACAAATACAGGCTTTGGCCCCCATGGCCATGGGCCACTCTGCAAATTGATAAGTGGTTTTTGTAAGAATGGGAAGAGGAGAGGCAAAGGTATAATTTCTCAGCCTTCACCTTGAAAAGCACTCATCACTCTTCCTGCTATATGACCCTCAGACTTCTCTAGCACCCCCCAAACACACAAACATACTTCCTGTCTGTTTGGCCAGGTGCCTTTTGCTCAGTGGAAGCCCCTATTAGCCGCAGGGAATGAAGAAAATGGAGGAAGTAGTCTGGGACTGGGACAGAGGCAGTAGCGTTGGGGGTCTCTCTCTATTCTGCTTCCCCCACCCTCCACACCACCACCAGTGAAAGCCTCTTTGGGCCCCCTCCTTCCCTCGAGTGGGGAAATAAACTATAGGGGTTCCCCCCTTCAGCATTTAAAACAAAAAGTCTTTTTCCTTATTCTCCACCTGAACGTGGGCTGGGAATGGAAGCGGAGCCTGGGGACTATCTACTGCACAGATGTGGCTATGTCAGTGGCCTCCTGTGCAGCCTCTTGCCCTGGGGAACCTGCACAACCCAGAACTTTAAGGCAATGGAAACCGACAGTGGGTGCCTCCAAACTTCCATACCTTTGACCCAGAAGCAGAGGGCATTTGGAGAAAGGGACTAGGTTCTCTTGCTTGTAGATTTCCCACTTGCTTCCTGTCAGACTACCTTCTGGCCATCCCCACCTGGATATCTATCAAGTTGGAAGAAACTCCTTAATTGTCAAAGGCAGAAAGGAGTACACCCCAAACGCACAGCCACACAAACGTATTCAGACGAGTACATAGGGCTCCATCCACATTGCAACCCCTTTACCCACAGACTCACAACTCACCCAGCCGGTACTTCCTCACCCACACGCCCAGTGCTGAGCCCACTCCAAGCCCTCCGGAACCCCTCACACACCCATCCCGGCTAACATTTGCTCACTCTCTGCACACACACACTCCACTTCCAGGCTTGCTAGGACACCAACCCGCTAGCATAGTGTGTTCATTTTCAGGAAGGAGAGGAGGGCGTGGGCCCGGGTGGGGGTCGGGGAGAGTTGACGGTGCTGGGTGCTGAGCATCCGGGGTGCAGGCTTGGCCTGGGGGAGGTGTGGGGGAGGATCAAGCAGCGCGCGGGAGCGCCGCCTAATCCAGCCGGAGCTCGTGGGCCGCGGGTGCATTTATCATCCCATTACTGTAACAAATCCGGGCTCCACTACATGAAAGGTAAAATGAATTACCGACGTTAAGCCGTCAATAAAGTCATTTCTGTAAATGGTGTCTCCAAAGGGCCGCCGCATTATTCAGCTGGCTTTATCAGCTGGCTGGAAATTACGTGGAAGAGCCGGGCCGCGCGGCGCGCGGGGCCGCTCACTTTGATTAAGCGTCTTGCCAGCGCGATGTGACAGAGCTTTTGACCAGGGTTTTATTCACAGGCCTGTGATGAACGCCAAGCTGATCAGGCGGAATGAAGAGTAATTAAAACCTATAAATTATCTTCCGCAGCCCTTCTCGAGGCGTCTCCTGCAGGCGAGATAAGGCGTCGAGACCCTATTTACGGAGCTGAAAGGGACCGCGGCGCACAAAAGCTACGCGGCTAAATAGGATATTGATAGTGTCCTAATTAGAATTTAATTAAGTACCCACGCTCGCTTGCGGGATAAAGATTTCAATTTTGCGAACTTAAATATAAATAAAATCCCACCCCCATTTCGGCGAGAAAAAGGTGGGGGCACCGGGAGATTTCGGGGAGCCATTGGGTGTATAACTGAAAAGGACCGGGTAGACTCCAAGGTGGGGTTGGGGGGCAGCTTGGGAGGGTTGGGGAGATCACCGCGGGCCTGCTTTGCGCAGCGCTTCTGAAAATGGCTCCGGACCCAGGCCGCGGGTCAGGTATAACCAGGATCTGCGAGGACCCCGAGTATAGGATTAGTATAGGAAGACCCTTGGCTGTCCGGAAGATCCAGCCAGCAATCCGAACTCTCGCTCTCCACCAGCGCCTCTGAGGAGCTTCGGCTCCTGCGGTGGTTCGGCCTTTTGCGGTTTTCGTTTTATTTTCCTCCTAACCCTCTGTGACTTTTCAGGGGGCACAGGGGAGTTATTTTGTATTATCTTATAAGACAGTATCCCCAGAGACCCTTTCTCCGACATCCCAGTTGAGGATGGCAGTCAGGGAGAACAGGTTCAATGGAGCTCCAAGCTAACATCCCAAAGAAGGCCCAAGTTGCCCGAGCCTTTCTAGCCACTCTCCAGTACAGCAGGCTTCAGGACACAGTCTGAGCTTGGCCCTCCAAAACAGCTGGACAGTCAAACCCTGCCGGTGTCCAGCGTCTCACCTCCCCCCACCCCATCCTTAGCGTCGGGGAATCTTTTAGGGTGCCTCGACCAGGAAACATTGAAAAAGAGCCCAGCGCAATGGAGGCGGGTCTCCGTGAACGTGGAATCGGCATGAGCCTCCGTGCTCCCCCCAAAGCTTGGGAAGAACACGCAGGGCTAGAGCCAGAGGCCTCCAAGGAGTCGGGAACAATTCCAGAGAAATCTGGGCAATCGGGGTAAACTCGTTGTCCACATCGTCAGCTGGCTAGGGCAAACACTTAGGGTGCAGAACTTCCATTTGTTTGATTTCACTTTGCAGGAAAATCTAACCGGAGGTTGCCGTGAACCCAAAAGCCGTGCCCCGCGCACATCCGCACTCGGACTTGTTAAGCCCAGGGGCCCTCCCAGGACATCTCCAAGATGCCCGGATGGCTTCAACTCCGGCGGCCAGGGGAAAAAACAGGCGCCCGGCGCGACTGGCTCTCGGGCTCTCTCGCGCCCTCTGGGCTTGGCTTAATGGCGCCAGGACAGCTCCCGGGGGTTGTCGAAGGTCCGGACAGGATAGGACAGAGTTCGAATACTCTGGAAAGGACATGCAATGCAGCTGGCCGGCATGCACTGCAAAATCTACAAACAGCCGGTGCTAGCTAGGCGCAGCTGGCCTCCGGAGTTTGCTATTTAAGAAAAAAATAAACGGCTTCTCTGAAAGTAACCAACTCAAGGTCTATTTCATATCTCCGACCCTCTTCGTCTCACCCCTCTCCCTTTACACACACACGCACACGTGACAACATTTCACCCTTCATAACAAGAAAAAGAAAATAAAAGGCTGAGTTTTTTAGGCATAGGGATGTACAACAGCCGAGGCCCTTGCCTCCTGACCCTGTGCCCGGCGCACACGCACCCATAATCCTGCATTTCTCCAACAAGTTGTTTATGGAGTTGCTGCTCTATTTGCCTACACCCCGAAATCCACCCCTCCCTGGTCTCTCCTTTGCCCCTTCCTCGGTTTTGCCTTGAAAGAGGGGGAGGGGCTCGGGCGCGGGTGGGGGAAGGCGGGCGGGAGGCGCAGAGCCCTTGCCGCTGCGCCCCCTCTCCGCCGGCGGCCGCCGCCCCCGGATTATTTATCCGCAAAGTCCCGCGCGCGCCCATTGGGCCGAGGCCCGGGTGTCAGCGCGAGTCCTGGCTCGCCATTGGCCCCGCACACGTGCGGCCTGACTCACGTGCTTCCGGTTTGAAGGCAAAAAGTGTGCCTGGGTGATTTTTTTTTTTTTTTAAGCGAGAGAGTTTGTGCAAAGATCCGAGCTGTCAGAGATTTGAGGGAAAAAAAAAAAAAAAAAAAAAAAAAAAAAAAAAGGCAGCCCCGGCGCTGGCGGAGACTCGCTCTCCTTGCAAAAAAAAGCAAAGGCGATTAAAGGCGCTGCCAGCCTCGCGCTCTGGGCACAGCTGAGCGTGACACTCGGGGAAGTCAAACCCCTCACTACTGCCTAGGAAGATGGCTAGACTTTAAAGACTATTTTTTCCCTTTAAGAAAAAAATTTATTGGAGCTTTTTTCCTTTTTTCTTGCTTTCTTTTTTCTTTTCTTTTTCCCCCCCTTTTTGGCCGTGGCTTACTCCCCATTTAAAACAAATCATTGAATCTGGTTGCAGAAAGAAAAAAAGAAATAGCCAAGTGTCTCCATATCTGGATGTCTACAAATTAGAGAGAGGGAGAGACAGCGAGATCTATCTGCTCGATAAGACCGAGCGATCCAGGCCAGACGCCTGGGCTTTTTTTCCTGCACCCGCCCCGTGCCTTCGCTGGGGCTTCGCCGGCCTCCTTCCTCCGCGCACCCCCACGGGCCGCTGGCAAAGTGGGGTGGGGAGCGAGGCGGGGGGGGCGGGGGCCGGCGCGGCGGCCGGGGCGGCGGGGCGGCCGAGCATGGAAGAACAGCAGCCGGAACCTAAAAGTCAGCGCGACTCGGGCCTCGGCGCGGCGGCGGTGGCAGCGGCCCCGGGCAGCCTGAGCCTGAGCCCCGGCGCCAGCGGCAGCAGCGGCAGCGATGGAGACAGCGTGCCGGTGTCCCCGCAGCCCGCGCCCCCCTCGCCGCCCGCGGCGCCCTGCCTGCCGCCCCTGGCCCACCACCCGCACCTCCCCCCGCACCCCCCGCCCCCGCCGCCGCCGCAGCATCTCGCGGCGCCTGCTCACCAGCCGCAGCCCGCGGCCCAGCTACACCGCACCACCAACTTTTTCATCGACAACATCCTGAGGCCGGACTTCGGCTGCAAAAAGGAGCAGCCGCCGCCGCAGCTCCTGGTGGCGGCGGCGGCCGGAGGAGGCGCAGGAGGAGGCCGGGTCGAGCGTGACAGAGGCCAGACCGGCGCAGGTAGAGACCCTGTCCACCCGCTGGGCACGCGGGCGCCGGGCGCCGCCTCGCTCCTATGCGCCCCGGACGTAAACTGTGGCCCACGCGACGGCTCTCCGCCAGCAGCCGGCGGCGGTGCGGGTGCGTCTAAAGCCGGGAACCCGGCGGCGGCGGCGGCGGCGGCGGCTGTGGCCGCGGCGGCGGCGGCGGCGGCGGCGGCCAAGCCTTCGGACAGCGGCGGCGGCAGTGGAGGCGGCGTGGGGAGCCCCAGTGCGCAGGGTGCCAAGTACCCGGAGCACGGCAACCCCGCCATCCTGCTTATGGGCTCAGCCAACGGCGGGCCCGTAGTCAAAACTGACTCGCAGCAGCCCCTCGTATGGCCCGCTTGGGTGTACTGCACGCGCTACTCGGATCGTCCGTCCTCCGGTGAGTACCTAACCCCGGGCTGCGCCGTAACTTTTGGACCCGCGGACAGCCCCAGAACTCTTAGCCGCCGCCGTGCTGGGGAGAGCCGATCCGGCCTTGGGTGCTCTCTTCTCTCACGCCTGCTTTCTCCTCCTCACCTCGGTCCCAGTCACAGCCCGGTGTGCCCCCAGTTCTGCGCTCCTGGCCTCTGTGGCCACCACTCGAGAGGCTGGCTACAGCTCCTGGCACAGGAAGCTCGAGTCTCGATCCTTCGGTTTTGCACTCCGAGCCCCTCGGGCCTTCTTTGTGTATTACCTTTATTATTCTAAGAAAACACACACACACACACACACACACACACACACACACACACACACACAAAATCAGCCATTGATTTTTCTTCCGGGGAGAGGGGGTGTTTAGAGCCGGCGGGAAGGTGGGCCTAGTGATCTGGGTCTGATATCCTGCCAGCCTGGTCGCGCGGAGGCCGAGGAGCCAGGCTCAGATCAGAGAAATAATCGTCACCTTCTCGATATTTACAAACACAAACACCATCTCGATATTTTCTAAGGCCAGTTCATTTACAGAGAGATAGATTGGAGGGCACATAGAAAGAGAGGATAGCCTTTAATCGCTGTGCCTCTACCCCAGGCCGGGTAAGCTAGAGTCTGACCCGGGTGGGTAGAATCCAGGGAAAGATGGTTGCCAGAACCATCGGTGCTGAGAGTCCCTGGCTCCTGGTTCCATAGAGCTCACAGACAGTGGGAGCGGAGAGGAGACCGGTCAGGCTCTGGCTAGATAGCGGGGGCACGGGGCATGACTGGCAACTTCCCCAGCAGCTTCTCCTTTGGCGCGGCTCGCACATCCTTTCGGCCCTGTCCCTTCCTTCTTTCACTCCTTTCTTCCCCGTATCTGCCAGTTAGCAGATTCTTGCCAGCTGTAGATTGTTTTTCTAGACCTCCTTTGGTCTTTTCCCCGCGTGTCCCTCGCGCTTGGAAACCCCGAGGCCGAGAAACCTGCGCTGGGACAGCCCTAGGCCCCAGGAGAGGAGGCTGGGGCCTGCCCGCCTCCCGGGGCTGCAGTGGCCGAGAGGCCCCGATGGGCGCGGCGAGGAGGGCAGCAGGGGTTCTGGCCTACAATTGCTGTTCTGGGCACCCAGGTTCGGTAGGAGGCCGAGCACAGCGTAGCCATGCGCCGCCGCTCGACTCCGGCTGGTGTCTAGCCTCCCCACGGTTGCCGGCCGGGCGCGGATCGATGCACGCTATCAGCCCCCGCCATCTCGAGCCCCGTTATTGACACGTCGGGCTCCCTGAACCTCCGAAAAGCTGCTTTGATTGACTCGCCTGATGGATAGAGTGATTGAGCTGTCAGGCTGTGCGGCTCAGGCTGGCCAGGAGGCTACGATTTTATTACAAGTGTCCGTGCCTCTGCACACACGTACACAACAACACTCTTCACAAGGTCCGGGATGCATAACGCACAGCGGGGCCTTTCCGGAGATGGGCACATTTCCTGGGCCATCTCTGTTCGCTCAGCTAATTACTAATCTAAACTGAGGCCGTCCTTCCCCCCCACCCCACCTCTCAGTCCTCTCTGCACAGAGCTCAGCAGCGGGCCTTGCCTTTTGTTCTTGGCTGCTTTCCCTCTTAACGTGCCTGGGGAGGCAGAGGACGGGCTCCTCCCAACCCGGGAGTTCAGGGAGGTGAACCTCAGCCCAGACCTGAGTCACTGCAGTCAGCCAGGCCTGGACTCTTTTGTCATAGGACAGTTGGTGACCCCAGGCACTGGCCTTCCCTGGGAGACAGCAGCCCAGCTTGCCCCTCTGTTGCTAGGGTTGGAGATGCTGGTGAAGACCCTTCTTTCCAGACAGTTTCAGATATGAAAAGGCCTCACAAGGACTTAACTTGGCTCAGGAAGCTCCCGTAACCAAGACAGGGCCCACCAAGTAAATGACGGAAGGCTTGGGGCTGGGGCTGCGGAAACAGAGGTGCAGGCTTTGAAGGTTGCCTCCTCTTACCCCCTCCTCTCTCCAGGGCTGGTCCTCACAGTAGCTCTTTCCAGACTAGGTTTTGGGAAAGACCTCACCTTCTTGGGGAGGTTTGCTGGGGCCTCCTCCCATAACCATCATAGGGGCAAAGCACAGGTTTGTGTCCGTATTGTCCCTCTATGTCTCTCCCTCTGCCTGTATTTTGCTCATGAATGGGGAGGAGGACAGATGCAGTCCCCTTGCAAATGTCATAGGTGGGCAGGGGAAGCAGATATGGCCTGTTTTTGTTAAACAGGACTTTTCAGTCCTGAAACTGTAGCGTTGTGTGTTGAAAAGAGCCAGAAGGGGGACCTTGCCTGTACAACTGGGTGGGGGAATGGGGAGTCCTCTTTCTTACTGGCACCATCCAAGGGGAAAGGCAGAGAACCCTGGGGGCCAGGGTCATGTGGGTAAGGTGTGCAACTGGGTGAAAGCCTTGTTCCCCCTTCAGAGAAGGAGAGGGCCAGTGTCTCCCTGGGCTCCTAAAAAGGCCTTCCTTTAGGCCAAAGAGAAAGGAGGAGCAGAGAGAACATACACCAAAGACTTCAGATCTAGGAAGCCCCTCACAGCCCCTTCTCTATCCCCATGTTTTCTAGGGTCAATTGCTACAAGCAGATGGGGTCTTATCCGAAGTGCTGGGCGTAGGTGCACTTCTGGAGGAGGAAAGGAGGATTAGTTTGCAGGCTGGCAGTTCCCTCAGAGCACTCCTGCCCGGTGTCTTCGCTGGTCTTCGCTTGAGCCTCTTTTTATTCCAGGGCTGTGAAGACAGTAGACCCCTGACCTCCAACTCTGGGATCCACCGGATGGGGCTCTAAATGTCTCTCCATCTTGGATTATGGGATTTAAGCGTGGCGCGCGGCTCTCTTGTTCCGAATTGGGGCGTGGGGTGCACGGACAAGCAGGGCCAATTTTCCTCCGCGCCCCTTCTGGTCCCCCAGAAGGGAAGTCGGCGATCCCAACAGCCAGGCGATTGATCTCGGGGCCCGCGGGAGGGAGGGAGCCAGGGACTCAGCAGGGCCTCGGCTATGGCCCCGGAAGCGCGGGGCGCGATCCTCGCTCGGCTCTGCAATTCTCACGGCTTCTTCTGTCCTCTCCCCACCCCCTTCCCCTCTGCCCTCCATCCCCACCCCACCCCCCACCCCACCACCCGGCCCTCTCCGCCGCTGCAGGTCCGCGCACCAGGAAGCTGAAGAAGAAGAAGAACGAGAAGGAGGACAAGCGGCCGCGGACGGCGTTCACGGCCGAGCAGCTGCAGAGACTCAAGGCGGAGTTCCAGGCGAACCGCTACATCACGGAGCAGCGGCGGCAGACCCTTGCCCAGGAGCTCAGCCTCAACGAGTCCCAGATCAAGATCTGGTTCCAGAACAAGCGCGCCAAGATCAAGAAAGCTACAGGCATCAAGAACGGCCTGGCGCTGCACCTCATGGCGCAGGGACTGTACAACCACTCGACCACCACGGTCCAGGACAAAGACGAGAGCGAGTAGCCGCCAGCCGGCTGGGGCAGCGCGGTCCGGCCGCCGCGCCCGCGCCCCCTCCTGGCATCGCCACCGCAGCCACCGCCGCCGACGCCTGGCCGGTACCACGCCGGGGGAGAAAGAATCCGTGCACAGGAGGGAGGGAGCAACAGGAAAGACAGATTCTCGGAATGGAGAGTCACGTTTGAACGAACCATTTTTAAAAAAGGGAGAAAGACTCGGACAGGTGCTATCGAAAAATAAGATCTATTCTCTATTCATAGTATAAGGGGCGGAAACTGCGAACTCCTTAAAGCTCTATCTAGCCAAACCGCTTACGACCTTGTATATATTTAATTTCAGGTAAGGAAAAGAAATATGTGTAGCGATCTCTATTTGCTGGACTTTTTATTAATCTCCTTTATTATTATTGTTATAATTATTATAATTATTATAATTATTTTATCCCCGACCTCCGCCTCGCTGCCCCCGGCCCAGTTTCGTTTTCGTTGCCTTTTTCTTTTGAATGTTGTCGCTTCTCTGGTGCCTCCCGCCCCGCATCGCTGGCCCTCGTTTCTCTGGGACTTTTCTTTGTGTGCGTGAGAGTGTGTTTTCCTCGCGTGTCTGCCCTTCGCCTCTCCCCCACCTCCCAAGCCCCTTCTGTCGGTCTGTCCGTCCTGCTCCCCTTTCGTTTTCCGGAGACTTGTTGAGAAATACGACCCCACAGACTGCGAGACTGAACCGCCGCTACAAGCCAAAGATTTTATTATGTTCAGAAACCTGTAGTCTGAAATAAAGTGTACACTGTGCTCACGAGCCGCTGGCGGCCCTCCTCCTTGCGGGCTCGGGAAGGGCGTGGGCGCAGGGCACAGGAGGGCCCGGTGCTCCCGCGCGCACCGCGAACTCATCGGCGGCGAGCCCCGCGCGGCCGGCGGGCCTTCCGATCACCGCACAACGAATACCGGGGGCAAGAGGAGAGCACGGCGATAGAGGCGGCCCAGTGCCGGGTAGGTCCGGGTCTGGAGGGTCCGGAGGCCCATGCCTGCTCTCCGATGGCGTGCAAAGGAGCCCAAAGGCAAACAAAACAAAACAATCCCCCCCTCCCAAAACTAGCCCCAGTCCTGACTTCAGAAACATTGCCGGGACTGTCTGGCTGCTCCCTGTGCCTGGTCAGGCCCAGCCTGGCTTTGGCCTCCTCTTGTTCAACCATGCTCCTCTCCTTGCTTCAGCCTGCACCTTTCCCTTTTCTTTCCTTCCTCCCCTAACAACCTGGCCCTCCTGTTGCTGGAGGCTTTCCCCTCCAGAAGTGGAAGGCCTTGCCAAGGCTGGGCAGAGGCAAGGGGAGGCCTGTAGTGCTGGGCTGCCCATGAGGGCGAGGGGCTCTTCGGTTGCGGCCTCTGGGCCTGGTCTCTCAGCTGCCTGGCCTCCACCGCTCTCAGTTTGGAGAAGTGATTCCGCTGGTGAAGCAGCAGGTCCCCTGCGACACATGGAGCCTCTCCTGGCCCAGATCTCCTGGTCCCACATAGCCCAGGGAGAAGAGGCCCGGATGCTGGGAAGTGAGGCAAAGCAGCAGCTCGGTCTGCTGTCGGGATCATTTTGGGGCCTGAATTCCCATGTGGGCACAGGCCTGCCTCACGCAGACCTAAAACCTAAACCGGTGTGGGGCGGTGGGGGTCACTATCAGAATGCCAACAGAGGTTGCTTCCTAATTGAGGTGGGGAGGGGGCACAGACACCAGCCTCCTGAACCCTCAGGACACGTGGATCCCAGAGGGAAATGTCTGTAGTCTTGCCACTGACCCTGGGGGACTTCCCTTCCTGGGCAGGCACTGGGCCCCCTAACCTTCAGGGACTAGGAGGAGGAACGGGAAGTCCTTCCTCAAGAAGTATCACTTCTCTTTTGTCCAGGGTTCTTTTTTTTTTTTTTTTTTCATGGTAAATCCTTTCTTCCTTCCTTCCTGTCTTCTGAAATATGCGTACGTACCTGTCTCTGTGTGCCTAGAGATGCAGGTGAACTTGCAGACTTGTGTGTAGCTGTGATCATGTGCAAATGTGGGTACGTCTGAGGAGCCACCTGGTTATGTGTGTCCCTGCACGTGTGCGTGTTGTGTTCACTGGGTGTTCGTTCCTCTGTAGTTAGATGCACACTTGGATGTCTGCGCACTCATGGCGTGCATACGTGTGTTCATTAGTGCTTGCACACCAGAATGCTTGTAGGTGTGTTTGTGGGACTCATGCATGCATGGGAACTCTGCTTCTGTGTTCTTCCCTTGAGTTTTTTCCCTGTTGCTTTTGCAGGATTGATTTTGTGAGAGGTGAGAATGGCCATTCTGCTTTTTTCCTTGAAAAATTTCCTGCTCTTTTGGGCCTATATCCGGGAAAGTGACAGGGCTAATAGGCTCCAAGTCCCTGCTCAAGGGTTTGGGGGCCTGAGGTTCAGTGATGTGGAGTTGGGGAATGTATTTGATTTTGCCATGGGTTCCCAATTTCATTACAGTAAATCTTTTCCTCCCTGTCGTGCCTTCTTGGGGTGGGTAGACTAACCTCTATACCTAATGGGGGCTTGACCACTCCTTGAGTGAAGAGTTGGAAGCAGAGGCCAGGGCCCTTCCTTGGATGGCCCCCCAGTGACTGGTTTTCTGGTGGTTGGAAGCACATCCTTTGCCTTCCTTGGTGGGATCTTCAAGCTCTCCAGGGCTTCGGGTTAGACTTGGAGCCCAGGATTCTCTTCCCCTCCTCCGAGTAGCTCAGAACATCAGGAAGGGTCCTGGCCACATCTAGATGTGATGTTGGAGGCGCTCTGCTCTACAGAGAACTTGATCCTTTGAGTGCCTGGAAATGAGACTATCCTTTCTTTGCCCTTCTGCACTGTGGCCCTTAGGATACCTAAGACACCAGATCTAGAGGCTGGGGCAGGGGCCAAGGTGAGCAGCAACTCCAGGAACCATGCTGTTCCTTAAGGTTCCTCTTTACCACTCTCAGAAAGTCAAAGCCAAGAGCTCTTCCCTTCCACCCTGGGAGAAGGAGGAGGTGATTACCGTTCCCTAAGATGGTATTAGTAAAGCTTATAGATGTGTCATTATTATGTAATTTGATTTCTTCCCCATAACTCCTTTTATCTTCCAACCACTATGGGCAAAGAGAATTTTCCTCTTAGTTCAGTGGAAACTAAAGCTCCCATGACTTACCATCTTTGGTCCATGGCTCTTCTGTGGCTGTGTGTCTTTTCCTATGTCATCTCTACTCCTAACACCTGCCTCGACCTCAGGAATCTGACCCAGGCCTTGACTTTCCTACCTCCCTGCCTTCCTCATCCCCATTTTCCCTTCTTCCTGATTGGGGCTGAGGAGAGAAGAAGAGGACTCAGGTCAGACCTCTTTTTTTGTTCCCCCTCTAAAAAAAGAAAGTAATAATAATTATAAACAGGCATTGATTCCTCTGATTTATGGGGCAGGCTTAGTGAGCCGCCTGTGTATTAAAAAGTCTGAGGTTGCATCAAAATAAATAGTGGAGTGTGCTATCCCAACTTCCTCATTTTCTACCTTTAAAAAAGAAAAAAAAAAAAAAAAGATCGGATTGAACCATAAACTTAAATCTTCCTCAGCCCAGAAGGAAATACGTACTAGCCGAGTCTAAACAGTATCGATTCCTGGCTCTTTCTGAGGGCAAAGGTCTCTGTTTTCTTGCTCAAAATTCTCCTTCGTTCCTGTAGGACCAAGGGGGAGGCGGCAGATAGAGGAGGGGATATGGGGGTGTGTGGAGGTCCCTGGTATGTCTGTGCCTCTGTGTTTGTGGGTTGTACGCCAAGAGGGCTTTTGTACAGGGGAGGCATTAAATATATTTGTTCAGGCTTGAGAGGTGGAAGTGTGTGTTTGGGTTGTATGGTTGCCAATAGTGACTGTGTGGTGTTTGTGAGCATGCGCATATGTGGCCAGTTCTCAGGTCCCCAGGCTAGGCTGCCCAGGACACAGAGAAGGAGCAGGCCTGCTAGCCTACCCCCCCTACCTGGCTCCCACAGTCCCCTGCCTTATGGTAGGACTTCCAGAGACATCTCACCAGGGACTTCACTGTGTCCCAGTCTCTCCCAACCCCAACTCCCCCATCCAATGCCCTCAGTACAAGACCTACTTGCAGGGGCAGGGGTGAGCCCTTGGCTGACTCCTGGAGGCCAGAGGGTGGCTACGGGGTGGAGAGGCCTTAGCCAACCTCCTTACCCTCGATGAAGGTGGTTCTCTAGAGCAGTCATCAGCTTCTGCAATGGTTAGCCTAGATTTTCCTTTATGTGTTGGAGAAAACCAATTCCTCTGGCAAGAGAGGCTGCCTTACACTCTGCGCAGACCTGGGGGCGGTGGGGAGGGGCAGGGAGGCCCAGCAGCAGCCCTCTCTTAGCCTTGCCTCACCTCAGGGTGGGTTCAGAATGGACATTCCCTCTGGGGGCACAGTGTTACTCCAACCCTCCGCACCCCCAACAGAGACTTTGCTCTTCTCCCACTCTGAACTCAGGTGAGGGGGCTGCTCTCCTGGGGCAACTTGTGGAAAGGGAGAGGGCTGGGGACTCTTGCCAACTCTCACTCCTCCCCCAAATGCTTTAGGCCAGTCTTTTAATGAAGTCCCATTGTCAGAGGGGGTCCTCAGGGATTCTGGAATAAAAAGGTTTCATTTCACAGGCAGGAGTGGGGGGAGGTTGTGGGAGCATGGGGGGGTGGGAGGGAAATCCTGAGAGAGTAAGTACCTCATTCAAAAACACACAGCAAGTAAGAGGCAACCCCCCACCCCCAGCTTTCCTAGGAGTACAGTGTCCTTCCCAGGGCTCCACTAAGTTACTGCACACAACCAGCCACGCTGCACATACATACCTGCTTCTGCACATCAGAGAGCACAAGCGTGCATTCCTCCACGTGTACACATGTGTACACATGTAGAATACACACATGTATACAAAGAAATGTACATGGGTTGATGTACGGAGGTGTGTCCCCAGCAAGCACAGGGACACTGCCTGTGTAGAAGTTTCTGGCACACCTTTGTGCATGGTCCAGGAATACACCTACTGGTATCCAACGCACACCTGCCTGCCCCTTCCATGGAGGCCACCAGAGAGAACTGGGATGGAGGTGGGTGGGTTGATTGGGTGGGGGCCAGGAATACAACAATCAGGGTAGCCAGAGGCGTGATGGGATAGCCCCTTCCCTCTCCCAGGAGACAGCTAGGTCCAGGTGACTCTAAGCTCAGACACAAGACATACAGGTACAGCTCTGTCTGGCCTTAAACGGTGTACCCTGCACCTTCCCAAGTGGATCTCTTGGGGGAATAGCAGGCCTGGGGC